TGCAGATTGTCACAACCCCAGGTCTGCCCCACGGCTGGGAAAAAAGCGTTGATAAAAGAACTGGACGTATTTATTTCATTGATCATATAACAAAGTCCACTCACTGGGAACTTCCGCCTGATTTTTATGCTAGTAGAGAGAAAGAGACTGAAACGAAGAAACAGAAAAGACAAGCACCAGAGCCGCCTACTGCGAAGGAGGAAGAGGAACCGCAGCCGGCACTGAAGAGGTCGTTGTCAACCCCAAACCTCGCTGATCTTGAAGTAAACAAAGAGATTGCAAAACCAGTTCGACCTGTTGTTGACCGCACATTGAAGCCAAGGTAAAGCTTATGTCTTTTCAAACAATCGAAACCAGTCCAGTGCCGATTCTTTTATTTTATTGAAACCCTTCTATTGTCGTACTCTTTCTGTTGGCAAAGTACTTGCAATGTTGAAACCCTTCCAATGTTAAAACCCTTCCAATGTTGAAATTCTTCAAATGTTTGAAACCCTTCAAATGTTGAAACCTTTTGATGTTGAAACCCTTTGAATGTTGAAACCCTTTAGATGTTGAAACCCTTCAAATGTTGAAACCTTACCAATAATGAATCCCTTTAAATGTCGATCCCTTTTGATGCCGATTCTCTTTTAAAGTGGAAACCTTTCTGATGCTGAAACCTGCCTCATGCAGAATCCTTTCAACGTTGAAACCTTTCCAATTTTGAAACCTTTCCAATGTTGAATCCCTTTAAATGATGATCCCTTTTGATGCTGATTCTCTTTTAACGCGTTACCCTTTCTGATGTTGAAACCTTTCTCACACAGAATCCTTCCTTATGTTGAACCCCTTTCAATGTTGAAACCTTTCCAATGTTGATCCCTTTGCTAAATCTCTTTTAAGTGGAAACCTTTCTGATGTTGAAACCTGTTTCACGCAGAATCCCTTCTTATCTTGAGCCCCATTCAATGTTGAAACCCCTCAAATTTTGATCCCTTTGCTAAATCTCTTTTAAGTGGAGACCTTTCTGATGTTGAAACCCTTTCAATATTGAAACCTTTCCAATGTTGATCCCTTTGCTAAATCTCTTTTAAGTGGAGACCTTTCTGATGTTGAAACCTTTCTCACACAGAATCCTTCCTTATGTTGAAACCCTTTCAATATTGAAACCTTTCCAATGTTGATCCCTTTGCTAAATCTCTTTAAGTGGAGACCTTTCTGATGTTGAAACCTTTCTCACACAGAATCCTTCCTTATGTTGAAACCCTTTCAATATTGAAACCTTTCCAATGTTGATCCCTTTGCTAAATCTCTTTTAAGTGGAGACCTTTCTGATGTTGAAACCTGTCTCATCATCCAAAATCCTTTCTGATGTTGAAACCACCTCCAGTGATGAAATCCTCCTTATGTACTTCTTAGGAAGCTCTTTTGTTGGACTGTTTTTATAATTGTGATACTTATTTTCTACAGTCAATCGAAACAGCAGATTGTTGACAGATCAACGAAGCCTCTCCCAAAATCACGCTTGCAGAATCTTTCCCCCGTCTATGGCAGCAAGGTATTGTATCGTAACCACAGCATTGATTGTCGTTTTTCAGCATCACCATCACATCATTGATATGATATGATTTTCAGCATCACAGCATTGATATGAGTCGTCTACGTTATTTTGTCTCGCTATTCACCTATTTTTGACATTTGGAAATTGCCACATGTCTAACAAACGTTTAGGATGGCAAAATTCATGAACCCAGATAAATTTTCTTGCATATTCATTTTGCTGTTTAGATAAAAGTTCAATCGAATTGCTACCCGTTTTATCATGTGCGTTATTCTTTGCAAATGTTTAGCATTTATCGTTGAAATCTAATGTAAGGTTTTAGCTAGAAAAACAAGTTTTCCACAAGCTTTTTCTGCAACTTTGTGTAATGTATCGATTGACCCCTAAACCGCAAAAATACTTACGCTAGTACTTGCTGTTAAAGAAAGAGGCCAACAATTTTGTAAGGCAATTTTCACAAGCTCAACTATATAAAGAACAATATCATCTGCATCTATTTGATAATGACAAGGCTAACTTTCCTTTGAATTGTTCATTTACAGGGTCAAAACCTTACTGGACTGAAAAACCTGGGTAACACATGTTACATGAATTCTGTTATCCAGTGCCTTAGCAGTACAGTCACGCTGGCTAGATACTTAAACAATGGTGAATATCTGCGCCACCTTAATCCAAACAGTATGAATCGCAGACCAGAAGAAGTAGTAAAAGAGCTAGCATTTCTTATCAAGGTCCTCTGGTCCGGACAATACCGCTCTGTTTCGCCTCTTGATTTCAAGATTGCAGTTGGGAGATTCGCGTCGCAATTCTCTGGAACAAAACAACAAGATGCACACGAGTTTCTCATGTTCTTTATGGATGGAATCCACGAAGATGTCAATAAGGTATGTTCCAGATTTTCTATTTTTACATTCTATCTTTTATACGCAACGTTTTGGGATGTCGTAAAAATCAGTTAGAAAAACTGGATCAAAATCACTTAGGCTCTAGTTCATTTAACTTCATCGTAAACAACTTAATTTCTTTACACGTCTTTTTGATAAAGGATTTGATCGTGTTTTTATGGTGTTGTGAATCCCATATGAAGTGGACACATGGAAACTGCAGTACTATTTCTTATAGGGAATGTCCTTGCTTGGAGTTTTTATCTGCAATTTTTAAATAAGAACCAATGAGTTCAAGCTGAATGTTCTTAATTTCGAAAATCTGAGGCTGGATTGTTCTTAACTTGTTCTTAAATTAAGAGTGTGTAAGCAGTATGATTGCTAGCTTTTTTGCTCTAGGGAAGTATTCAGGTCTCATTTGCCAACAAAGTGAATGAGACAACCTTCATTTGCTGATAAATTTGAATATTCACCGAAAAAGCACCCACACATCGCTAAAAATCCTCGATTTTGAGATAAAACATTGTTCAAAATTGCATTTTACAGGAGCTCAGCCTCAGCTTGTTCTTAATTTGTTCTCAACTTTTTACCAATATTAAGGTTCGTGTTCTTATAAAACTTTTCTTATAAAAAAGTGTATCAGGTTTTACTGTAAAGATTGTTACTGTCAGCTAAAGGGAAGTCTCCACTTCACTGTTTACTTTACCTACTTTTCCAAGGGTTTGCTAGCAGAAAAGAAATTTAATGTCAAAATAGGTTTTTTTGTTTACAGGAAGTGCCCGTTTTAAGAAAAGTGACTGTGATGTTGAATTTTTTAGTTCTTTTTCCTAGTAGAAATGTTTTTATCCGTTTCTTCTGGTTTCGCAGGTCAGAAAGAGAGTGCCCATGATCGAACAAAACAACGATAATCTGCCTGATGACGTTGCTGCAATTAGCGCCTGGAAAGACTACTCCAAAAACAACAATTCCGTTATCGTTGATCTGTTCCAGGTACAGTAACAGCTGGAGCCTTAAACAAGGACCCAATCAAACAATTAATTTCTCCTTCTCTCGCGCTTCTTTCGATTCATGCATGAAATAAATCGATGCCTACCTTGAGGCATTATGCGACAGCATAAGAAGGGTTTCAATGTTATTATTATAAGGGTTTTGACATGATAAGGGTTTCAACAGAACAGGGGTTTCAACAATAAAAGGGTTTCAACATTAAGAGGGATCAAAACATAAATGGTTTCAGCATTAGAAGAGTCTTACTATTAAAAAGCTTACTTCATTAAAAGGGTTTCAAGAAAACAAGGGTCTCAACAGAACAAGGGTTTCAGCAATAGAAGGGTTTCAACATTGCAAGTGTATTGGCAATTGAAGGGTTTCAAGAGTAGGTGAATTTCAACGTAAGAAGGGATGAGAAAGAGGCGGGTGTCGATTGTTGTGTCACTGCTTTCATTACTTATTGGGGAGACGAGCGAGCTCTTCAAATGAAAATCTTCAAATGAGTGAGGCGCCCCCCCCCGTCCTGGAGTCAAAGATCATGCGTAATAGTAACATGCTCTTTGACTCTAGGACGGAGGGTCACCTGACTCATTTAAAACTTTCTCTTGCTCGTCTCCCCAACAATTACACGGACAACACAGGCTTACAAATGTTCGTCTTCTTACCAATAATCTAAGGAATCACTTTCTTCAAAGGGACAATTCCGATCGACCGTCTCCTGCAAGACTTGTGGTAAAAACAGTGTGACGTTCGATGTGTTTAGCTGTTTGCCTTTGCAACTCACTTCAAAGAGTGCGTGCTCCCTAGATGTAAGTATTGGTGGAAACCTTTCTTCATCGCATCATGTTGCCGTTGTTACTTTTGTAACATCTGTTCTATTTGTTAATTGAAATCCATGTGTTCTTGTGTGGTTTCTCTTATTTGTTAACCCTGTGTCGCTTGTGTTACACTATTACGCTACTAGCCCTTGAGTTAATACTAGAGATTGTCGTTTTTCCGCTCTGATTTCTCTGATCCGAGACGTATTTGTTTGTTTTACGACGGACGATCGTGTGAAAACGTTTTGATCTATATTACATTCCAGGAACCGCGCAGCCATTGGGCTAGCAGGGGCTATAGCCCACCCACTTTTTTGCAATAATAGGCTAGAAATTTTTGGGAAGTTTTACTCTAACGCAACTTTGGATAGTTTACTCCTATGTAGTTGCAGTTTTTCTTGACTGGATACCACTTTTGTTCTTTTTCTAGGTGTTTTGATCTTGTTTAATGATATGATATATTTTCTAGCTTGGTTAGCTTGGTTTTTTATTACCTTCGCGCTACTTTCATAGTTATTGATATCTTCTCTGAACCAGAATGGTCATAAAAATTCATTAGAAATGAGCAAAAATTTTCTAAAAGGGGCGTTTCCGGCGTTCAAGAGGGCGCGGCCTCAACAAATTTCAGTCACACCCATTTCAGCCCCTCCACTTTAAGAGTGGTGCGCGGTCCCTGTTACACTCTTGACTTTAACCCTTTTTGTAGGGCTGTGTTCGTGCCTTCACAAGTCCAGAGATGATTGGCGGCAATAACAGTTGGTGAGTTTTGCTTTTGAACCCTTTCTTAAAGTTACTTCTTATTGCTTTCAAAATATTCAATTTATTTCAAGTCAACTCTCATTCCAGACTTTTAATTTCTCGACTTCAGCATCAAAGATGGCATGAAATTTTAGAAATATGGTGTCCTTAAGTACTTTTTGTCCCCAAAAGTTTCTGATAATGACTAAAAGTAAACAGAAATTCAAAGCCAGGAGGGAATCAAAAATAACTTAAGGAGAAGAGTTGGGAATTCAATCAACTTTTGCATATCGTCATAAAATTAAATCCACAGTTTCTAGCTCTCTCACCACAACTTTATACCCAGTGACGCTGGAAGCATTTGAATTTTTGAGGGGCAAAGCTAGGATGGGTCAATCCTAGCTTTGTCACAGATAATGGGACAATCCTACAAAAGCCTTCAAGATGTTACTTCTTTAAAAAAGAGCAATTTTCCAAAAGTTCCTAATTGGTCATATCTTGAAAAGGAGCAATTTTTCAAAAGTCACTTGATAAAAGAGGTTATTTGATAAAAAGGGTTTTTTCAAAGGTTAGGGGCATGTTCTCTTAGTACAACCCAGCCCTCCCTGCTTAGGTCCATTCACTCCCCACAAGCTTGAGACGCATCTAACCCCCCGTAACCACCCCCTTAAACATTACAACTCAATAAGCTTGTTTTTTGCTCACTTTATCTCCCTTTTCCTAACTCACTCTCCTTTGCCTTCTTTTTGCAAATTTCAGGACTCAAAAATCCTCTCCAGTTATACCGCCGTTTCCAGTCCCCATTTACATTCCCCATTTCCAGTCTCCATTTCCAGTCCCCATTTCCAGCCCCCATTTCTAGCCTTTACGCCCCCTCCAATTCCTCGATAGCGTAATCAACAAGCCTCTTTCCCTTGATAGGAAATGCTCAAACTGCAAGACATACCGTGAGGCAAAGAAGACAATCGAACTCTGGAGCCTACCGCCCGTTGTTGTTGTGCAACTGAAAAGGTAAATTCGACTTGTTGATCACACCCTCCTACTTTCCCTTGTCCCTTTACATTAATAGACAATCCCGGAATTCGTGACGTCACGATGAAATACTATGGTTTTATATCTTTGTCCCTTACCCCAGGTGGGGCAAACCAGCCGAAAGTTCATGATGGATAAAAGCTGCTCTTCCAATTTTGGGTCGTGAAACCTTTTCAAAATAGTGAAAAATGCTAGAATGAAAATCTGAATTTCGTTGATGATCAATAGACCCTGTTTGAGCCACAGAGGAATAATGGAGGAAGCGTTTTCAAAAAAATTTCAGTTAGTGTATCGAGAATTTTGGCAGACATTGTAGCCTCTTTATTGTCCAGCCCCTTTATCGTACAGCCTCTTTATCGTACAACCTCGTTATCACAGATTCTCCTCCGATGGCATCTGGCATAACAAACTGCAAACAAATGTTGATTTTCCCGTTTCCAACTTTGATATGGGCAGACATCTTGTTGGGCCACGAAGAGACAAGGCGAAATATGAGTTAACTGCTGTTGTGAATCACTATGGCAGCTTTGAGAGCGGACACTACACAGCTTACTGTGCGAACCAAAATAAATGGTTTTGTTACGATGACAATGTTGTCAGTGAAATTGACAAAAACAAACTCAAGGTTTGTGTATTCTCCCTTTATTTTATGCAATAATACTTGCACATAATTAACTTGAAAAAGCATAAATTAGTATTTCTTGCGCATAATTAGCTTGAATCAATAGAAAATCGTCTTTGATTTATGCAATGATGTCTTGCGCATAATTAGCATGAATAAGCATAAATTAGTATATCTTGCGCATAATTAGCTGTAATCGACAGAAAATCGTCTTTGATTTATGCAATGATGTCTTGTGCATAATTAGCATGAATCAGCATAAATTAGTATATCTTGCGCATCATTAGCTTGAATCAGCATAAATTTGTTTATCTTGCGTATGATAAGTTGGAATCAGCAGAAGAAGGTCTTTAGTTTAAACAATGATATATTGCGCATAATTAGATCGAATCAGCATAATTTAACGTCTGTTGAATATGTCAATGCCTTGTGTTGCCAGGCTTGAGTGTTATGTTATAATTCTTTGAAATGAAAAAGAGGTCTATTGTAGTATCGTTGGTTAAGGTCACTTAATAAGTTAAGCATGTCTTTGCAGATGTACTTGCATTGATTGACGCATAGTACTAAATTATGATAATTTATCTTCTCCTTCGCAGTCTTCGGCAGCATATCTCCTGTTTTACACAGCAACAGAACTGACAGGACTTCAGTTTAAATGAAGCACCTCAGAAATGGAAATTTACTATCTTAGCTAGTGGTATTGATTTAATTGTTTGTATGAATGATAATTATTGCATAGAATTGTACATAGTTTGAATCATATTATTTTGGTAATATTGAAAAGTGTCATATGATAATTGGTGGGTTTGTGACAGTGGCCTAACACAGTCTGGGGCACTTTTGTTCGATTAGTAAGGGCCCTCGACCAAATAAGTCTCCCAACTGAAAAAGGGACCCCGACCAAAAAGGCCCCCGACCAAAAAGGCCCCCGACCAAATAGGGTCCCCGACCAAAAAGGGCCCCCAAGCGAAAAAAGGACCCCGACCAAAAAGGCCCCCGACCAAATAGGTTCCCTGACCAAATATGGTCCCCGACCAAATAGGGCCCCCAAATAAAAAAGATCCCCTACCAAATAGGTTCCCTGACCAAATAGGGTCCCCGACCAAATAGGGCCCACAACCAAAAAGATCCCCTACCAAATAGGGTCCCCTACTAAATAAGGTCCCCTATCAAATAGGGTCCGCGACCAAATAACTCCCCTGACCAAATAAGTCCCCCTACTGAAAAAGGGACCCCGATCAAAAAGATACCCTACCAAATAGGATCCCCGCACAAAAAGGTGCCTTCTCCGTCCCGTTCCTAAATACCCTTGTTTTACTGTTAGTTCATTGCATTTCTGTAATTTCGTAACAAACGATCAGATACTTTTCGCAGAGCCTTACTCTGTGCAGTATTGATGGATGATTTAATGATAACCATATGTCCAAGTTAGTTTTGATCACGTGTTATCGTCAGTTATTCACGTGATGTTTTCTCATTGTATTGAATTTATTTAGTTTGTATAAAGCTATATATCTACATACATAGAACAGGATATTTACGCTGTAATTACCCGATTAAACTATATATATTTAATCGATTTCCGTAAGGTGGCCTGGTACCTAATGACGTCATAGTGATGGAAATTGAAGTTTGTTCTGATGGTCCCTTGAACATTGTAGCCCTACTGCCCCTATTTTTATGAGCCCCTGAAGAACCATTTTTTAGTAAAAGAAGCAAATCTTCACTTCGTGCCGTATTCGAAAGCAGTACCGTTATTCCAAGAAATTTGTTGATTTCCGAGAATAAAGGCTATTTAAACCCACGTATATTTGACAGTCTATATTCGACAGCCTATCACTTCTGCACATCCTACATGAAACGATAAAACGTCATTTCATTTCTTGGCAACTACACGTATCAAGACAGGAAAGTACAGGCCTGTCACTAGCTATTTTCTAAGGTTGTGGGGGGGGGGGGGGGGTGGTTGGTAAGGTCCTTTTTGCCGACAAAGTGGATGAGCCATCCTTTTTTTTGCCTACAAGTATGTACGTTTGCCAATGAAGCACCCCTACTTATAAAAAGTATTTTTGCATTGTTGTAGGGGCGTTTTTGCATTGAAAATTTTTCCAAGGGGTGTCATCCCCCACGCCCCATCATAGCGACGGTGACGGTCCCCTAAAAATGTCCTTTTGCGGCGCGTACTAAAATCTATAAAGCATTATTCTCCAAATTGATGATCCTTTGTCTATCCCCAAGTTGAACTTTTGCCCGTAGTTGATATTTGTTTGCGTGCACTTAAAATTTCGTATAAATATCATAGCATTATATTGTGTTCCTGTTCCCTGTGACACACTCTTATCAGAATGTGCAAATATCGTTACAAATATCGAGGCGATCGACCTTTTCAAAATAAAATGTGCATTTCAACTTTTCTTAGATCAATGAGTCCGCTAGTTGTGACAGGGAAAAGGTAGCCTATGCTCCAGACCCCAAGGCTAGGGAAGAGAAGTATGCATAGAAAGTTACGATACCGTCGTCTTCGTCTCTTTTGATTATCACGAAGTATTTTAGTTAGAGCTTGTGATACAGCCACAACTGTTAAAGAACGTCAAAATCGCAGCTTAGGGTTATGGGTCAGAGGTCATTGCAGGTTATGGGCCAGGGGACTATATCATGTGTCACATCTCAAGAGGTCATGATCCAGAGGCCAATGCCAATACTGTTTGATAGGCAAAAAGTTCATTCCATCCAGTGAGATGAAGACTAATTGATGGCTCATTCAAGTTGTTCCCGAATTCTGTTATGATTCCCCTAATAGAATCGGCGAGTATCCTATCCCAAATGTTAGGGAGAGGGATTCAAAAATGAGAAAAGTCTATCAAAAGGTGTACCCACTTCGGTGCCTCCCTCCAACTTTCAGCCTCGTTTCAGCTGTCACGTTTCAAGCCCACGTGTTCAAGCCTCGCTAGGCCAAAGTTGTTGTTTTGAAAATGGACGCGCGAAATTTATGGGTGGAAGGGTCAGAAAAGCATGTTGCCAATATGCATCCATGCGAAACTTGCTTGATGATATCCAAGTTAAAGGAGACATGCTCCAATTCGAAGCAAAGGTATGATTCTAAATTGTCTTTTGATTGCCTTTTCTGGAGCCAGGCTTTATCATTTTGTTTCGTGTTTGGTCCTTTGTCAGGAGTTCCGACAAAAGTTTGAAAGAGGGAAGGCCAATGGCAAATTAAAGACCAATAACAAAAGGTTTTCTATCAAGGCTCTATTGTCTTTCAAGGAAATGAGGGCATGCCAACCTCTTCCCCCCCCCCTCCCCCATCATCAGGGTCCTGCTTGTTTGCCAATAAGAAGCAAAGGTCTCACACCCCTTTTTTGCTGACACGAAAAAGCAATTGTTTAATTTTTAGAAATAATTTTATAATTTTGAGAATATTGCACAAAACAAGGTACACAAAACAGACGCTGATCAGGGTCGTAACTATTATTGCTCTTAGGGGGCACATCAGGGAAGCCTGCACTTGAAGAGGGCAACGGGGGCAAAGCGCTAGAGAAAAGGATAAAGCAAAAGAAAAACGAAGAAAAATGCTCGATTTCGCGAGGCATTAGACCCCAACCTTAGCAAGCTGTTGTTAGTATCTGAACATGCCTCTATGTGGAATCGCATTACCGCACAAAGTAACTTTTGTGAACTACAGGTTTCTTGATCTTGGGATAAGACATTTCCTATTTTTTCGATAGGGGTGGCCTAAAAGCTCGTCGAAGCAAAAATTTGCTAAATTCTCTAAGGGGGCCCAACGCAGGGTTGTGGTACCCCCATATAAAGATAGGAATGTTCCTATCTCTACGGGCACCCCACACTTTCCATTGTGACCTCCCAACCTTTTTGTATCTTTAATCAAGCAGATTTTGCGTTTATGTTTCCGAAACTGGTTAACCCTTTAGTTTACCGCAATAATTGCTGAATTTGTTTATAATTTGTTTATAAATATCTAAATACCACAAAAATTGAATTTTGACGCGACTAAAGAAAAACGATTTCTTTCATTTCTTTGTACACGATCCTTTGTAAAAACGTGCTGTAACTTTCAGGCAATTCGTTATGAGCAGTTATATTGATAAACATAAAAACCAACTTTATTTAGGTAGATATTAAAATTCGATTGCTGAATTCAACCTATCAACCGAGTATCCCCCACAACATATTTTTGCAATTATCTTATCGGAAGATGATCGTTTATTTTCAAAGTCAACTACTTTGCAATCACTTCTTGCATTTATTGTTTCTATTTTTCGTTTTGTGAAGCTACGAAGCTCTGTTTTCTTTCCACTTTTTTCTAATATATCGCTAGCGAATTTGTTTCATGATTAGAATATGGCCTAAAATCTACCCATCTTTGTTTTATTATTATTGATCCACCAGGCAGGGGCGTTGAGATTGATCCACCAGGTCGGGCCCAGAGGTGATTCACAAAACTGGACACTCATAAGAAAATTTGCTGTGGCCAAACCCTTCAGAGAACAAGGAAAACGCCCTTTTAGTTACAATTTTCGGAAAAGTTTTTAAAGATTTTTACAAGAATGTGCAAAAATTTTTCACATGAATCAAAGACACGTGGACACTTCTTTGCGTTAAATTTACAGGCGTTTATCCCACGTAAGTAGCTGGAATAGTAGATTTTTGCATTTTAAATTGTTACTTTATTACGGGCCCCATCGGAGCACGGGCCCCGGATCTTTTGCCCCTCCTAACCCCCCTCTCGACACCCCTGCCCTCTCGACTGGATTTAGTGGGGGGGACAAAAGGTGTGTTTTGAAACATTTTCTTCAGGAGGAAACACCCCTTGTCTCCCAAGAAATGTCATTTAAATGTGACAATCTAGATAACGTACATACTTCCCCCCCCTGACCTTGTGGTTTTCATTTCAGGTTTGCAAGAATCTCAAGGACCAACTTTCTGAAAAATTGGGGGTGCTAGCTTCCCGAGATTTTGACCCTTTCTTCTCCGTCACAAACAATTTCTTGAATGCAATTCCAGCGATCTTTGACTCACAAAACAAATTTCTTGCTTATTTACAGAGCAAATTAACTTTGAAATTTGACACGGTAGTTTTAGCATTATTAAAAGCGACGGCAAACGAGCAGGGGAAAATCCAGACATTGCTAATGTTTTTGCCACTCACAGCTGTATTGCAAATCCCCCATACAGTAATACAACGGTTGGATATCGTTAAACAAAAAACAATGCCGAGATTAATATTTCTTGAATATAATTCCCATTGAACAGATCTCAATTCTGCAAATTCTTTAACAGGGATGAACGACGTGCCCTTTGTTTTCGGGTTAGAACGTGAAAGCTTCTCTGCGAACGATCGGAGCATTCGTGAACTCTCCAATCATCTGGTGCCGATTGCGATGAAACCATGTGAATGCAAGGGCAGAAAACTGATGACATTGCAAGGGTTTCGCAAGCACATGAAGCCGGTCTAGTTTTGGTTGGTTTTCATCGTATTTTGGAAAGACAACACTTCGACTAAGGTAATTTATAATGTTGGATTCTTGTTTATGTTGGAAATCTAATAAAGAAAATCTCAATGTTGGTGTATGGTAGTGTGTAATAACATCTTTGTGATCATAGAAAGCTGGGTTTTGCAATGAGCGAAAGGTTTTTGTTGACAGAATAAAGTTTTTGCAACATCAGATTGAAAAACCTCACAGATCAACTCGCAATTTGACCGAAAATTTTGTAAGATAAATCATGTATGCGAAATCTGCTATCGAACTTCGTTTGTTAATTAATAGATAATTCCTCGGTTTTCGGAATTCTGCCAACATCCGAAGCAAACACTTCATATTTCAATTTTATCTTCTGGAAAAAATCATCCGTGTATCAAAACTTTTTACAGCCTTAAACAGCATCAAAGAATCGATTGATCAGTTTGCGTGGAAAATTTCCTCTTTGATCGTATTTGAATCGTTTTTTAAAATCTGTTTCTAAAATTCAAACGCAATTGATAGAATTAGTAAACTTTACAAGCAGTGCTTATTACAAACACGGATTGCTTATCACAAGAACATATTTTTTTACCGTTTATTCAAAGTCTATCCAATCATCTGTGCTTTGTTGTATAATATTTTTAGCGCTGTTTTCGTTTTAATCGTTTACGACGACTCGAAATAGTGTGGGGTTTGTTCCTCTTTTCTTTGAATTTAATAATTACGTGAATAATATCAAAACCGGCACTCGTAGCAAACTGGCAATCTTTTAATTTCCCGTATAAATAGGGCCTCAAAACCTTCTTATACACAAAATGTTTGTGCAAATTCCTCTAAAGAAACTCTGTAATTTATCAAAAGGAAGATAACATCAACTTTTCTTGAAGAATCTCAACTTTTTTAGTCCAGGATTGTAGCATACATCTCATCACTGTATTTCTTTGATTTATCCCGCAAATAAGTAATTCAATCGTTGCAAAATTTGGAACTGCTCAGTCATAAGAAAATGAGCAATGTGCGAGTGAAATCCTTTTATATGCCTAAGCAAACTTTGGTTTAAAACGTCATAGTACGCAATGCCTTTATTTGCTTGTCTTTGTCAATAATGGTGTTGGATATAAAGTCTACCAATATTTGTTTATATCGCGTCCATGGAAATTGCCTAGATCAGTAGAGAGGGCAAAGTATGTTATAAAATTAGGGAGAGAGGGATAAGGGAAGAAGGAGAAGGAAGGGAGAGGGGGATTGACAAGGGGGAGGGAGATGAAGATGGGAAAGGGAGAGGATGGGGGAAGGTGGAAAGGGAAGGGTCAAGGGGAAGGAGGAAGGGGAGGGAGAGGGGGAAGAGGGAAGGGGAGAGAGGAGATGGATGGAGAATAGGGAGAGGGATGGAGAAGGGGGAGAGGGATGGAGGAGGGAAGAGAGAAGGGAGACGATTGAGGTAGAGAGAGTAGAGGGAAGTAGGAGAGGGAAAAGTTTTCAACATGCTGTGTACTATTGGCAAAGTTCCCCAATTCAGGAGATCGTATTTATCGGTGGTGGCAAAAGCAACTGCCGGGTAGGAGGGTAGTGGGGGTGATCCTTGAAACCATAAGGCCCCTTTCACCTCATTCCAGTGGTTTATACCAGTGGAGTATTTTCCTTGGGCAGATCTTGAAATAATACGCCATACCCTTACCTATTGATTTTTATCCATAAAAGAATTATGTAGACCATATTTTTACAAAAGTAGGGGTATAAAAATGAGATGATTAACGAAGTGGTTTAATCTTTCAAAATTGAATTATAGAATTCAAAATTCGAGAAAAATGAATGGTGTAATCAAGAGTACGTTATTTGGGTTTCATTAAGGGAGGAGGCGATAAAGGTCATGACGTCATTGGGACGCTCGTAACCCTCTTGTGTCCTCTGATCGAAAGAGTTCAACCTGGGGCTCAAAAACACAGTCAACGTTTGTTTATTCAAACTTTCAAGGGAACAAAGCAAGATTTTGTCGAAATATTGAAATAAGTAGGTTGACCTGGGCTGGAATATTTGAATGGTAAATATTTAAATGAAGTTAAAAGTAAAGGTGAAATTATATAAAGTGTAAATATGGAACTTTAATAAGTGTTCAAAATTATCTGAAAACTGCCTCTTGTTATTTGTAAAAGAGATCCTTTATTACAAAGTGAAGTCCCTTTTGGCCGTACCCTCTCCCCCAACTTTCAACACTCTCCTACGGCCCATTTTGGTTTGCTAGCTTGGTGTCTTGACTAGGCCCTTTTTAACTGAAATTAATCAAATTTGATTCCATCAGGGACATTGCTGGCAGTAGAAACATATTCAGTCCTTCTTTTTAAGAGGTGGCAAATCAGTAAATTGATTTCACACTTGATTCAGCCCGCTTGAAAGCAAACGTGTTTCTCGTTATCTCTGCGTTTCCGCTACGATTAGCAGTGAAGTTTTTTTGAGGTTCTTTCTCTTCTACAAACTGTAACAGGGCCTCGGAAGACGGGGGGATGTCCGTCTTAAAGAGATGTCCTTTATTGAAGGTGTTCCTGTAATTCTACGCCTTTTCCTTTAGCCCCCCTCTAGAAATGCCCCACTTGCTAAATCAACCAATCAAAACAGGCTAAAGGGAATACATGCTAACTCTGTGTGCAACTTACAAATCTGCCCCTTCTTGTGACGTAGCCTATTTACGTCAGTCTCCTTCGCACTAGCTTCAATCGAAACATCCTCGGGTTGGCATAGGCTCGATAACGGCAAACGCACAAGGCTTATTTTCAGATCGTAAATAGATGGATAAATTTTGTGATTATCTGCGGCCCATATCTTTAATCTTAGGGGGATTGGAACTTTGTAAAGACCGAAACAAAACAGTTTTAATGGAGAATAGCCCGGGATAATAACGATTAGATCGCAGATTTTGAATACGAGACACAATATGAAATTGTTATCTATGAGCTTCGTCAGTACTTCAGTACAGAGCTTCGCCATAGCTTATCAGATTAAACGAGGCTGCAGCAACATGGCGCATGGTGGTCTATGCTGCCTAACAGCCAGTCAAGTTTTCTACATTTACTGAAAATTCTCTTGCAAATTTCAAGTATTATATAAACAAGAACTTGTAATTTTCCATCGCCATGCCATTCAAATCTTACATTTTACATTCTACTTATACTTTAACATAATTGCTTCTTTCTAACTATTTCAGATTCTGGTTATTGATTGAAGAAAGAAAACAATCTAAAAATTCAACATGGAGACGGTGGTATGTTTAACCCAGTATATTTCTTGCATGCACGTTTATCAGTAGAATGTAGGGTTCGACTAGACTTGTTCCACAAGCCTCCCTTTCGCTAGTGCCTCTGCTTCGCTGGTGGTTGCTATAAGTGACTGAGCGTCTATCAATCCAATTCAGTGACGTAATCTGGACTGGATCGAGCTTCTATTGTGACGAAAATTTCGCCATGCGATAAGAGTGCCCCAGAACATCCCATTCGAGGAGACGTCCTTCACTGTCATTCCTAGCAATGTTTTCAGCTGCTCTGGCCTTGTTCTTTTTCAGGACTCGTACACAGCATTGCTGCTCTCGCGTATCCATATCATTCGTGTATTGTTTTTGAAAAATGGCTTCCCGCCATTGTTTGGGGCCCTCTTCCTTTTGAAATAGAACCGGCTTCAAACTTGGTATTTCAAGACAATAGGAAGCTCGATCCAGTCTTTTTTTAGCTCAGTGCGTAATCTGCCACTCATGACAGAGCAAGGCTAGAGTTCGAATGCCCCAACCATGCATGGAATTCCAAACATCATGAGGCCCTGCGGCATTTTCAACAGGTTCCAGCTGTATAATTCCACTACGTTTTGTTCGCAGTTTTACAAAACATTAGCAAGCGATTGACTAGGCCCTTTAGGTTGCTTTTGTACAATATTCAATGCATTGATTTTAATTACCCGTCATGCTGTGCTTTATGCCACCGCTGATGCTTGTTACAGATATGTCAATAAAGTGACGTATTTTTGCGGTCATACTTCGAAAAAAGTTCGCGATACAGTTGACATCTGCTATCTCGAATTATTTCACGAAATTGAATTTTGTTCGAGTTAGCGGGTAACCGAGATAACAAATTGCTTTTCTACGTTAACCTGTGACCTTTAACCTTTGATCTTTCATTAGAACATAGAAGACGATTTCGATGACACCATTGATTTACTGGAAGATCTCACTGAAGAAGAACTAAAAGACTTGAATGAAACATTTGATCCTGAGGTTTGGCCAATTATTCATTAGAAATTTACATCATCATTATCGATAATCATTAACATCAATCAATCAATCACTCCGGTACAATCAATCAATTATTTACTCCGTCACTATAGTCAATCGATCAATCAACCAGTTGATCACTACATTCACTTAAATATGATCAGTCACTTCAATCACTTAATCATTCAATCTAGCGATCACTTCAATCAGACAATCGTCATCATCACTAAAATCATCATCACCAATTCCATCTTTCTTGTTGTAGGTAATATTCTGCTTAAAATCCTCATGAATGTTTTTCATGTTAATCATATATGTGATTTGAGTTGTGATTTCTTTGACGTCAGTTAATCAATCAAGCAATGAACTAATCAGTCAATCAATCAACCAATCAATCAATCACTTGAATCGATCATTCAATCACTCAATCATAATCAGCATCATCATCAAGTGTTGTAAGCCATAACTTGCTTAATATCCTCACTGATTCTTTGATTTCGTTTGTGATATACAACCCTATATGATTGGTGTTGTCATTTCTTTGACTTCAGAACAATCTTCTTCCGATTCACGAAAGAATCAACTATGAATGCGAGAAACAACCAAGCAGAATTTTTGACAGTCATCAGCTGTCTGAGCATCTCAAGGCCAAAGTAAGTCTCCATAATTTACCATCTTTGTCACTTCGCCATCTTCCTTGTGCAAACAAACCCTTCAAATGGTGATCTTGTCTGAAGGATCACATAAATAAACTAGCTTGCGTGCTTTACAATGTGATAGATCAAAACTAGGAATTTAAGTTAAAAATTGTACTATGAAAATAAACGAATTTATTAACAACGTTTTGAACATAGCCTATTATCTGAATGATGTTTTGAATCGTGACGTCAGTTTTCTTCAGAATGTCCTGTCATATGTAGTTTGTCTGCTAGTTGATTTGTTACATTAAAAATATGTATTCTATGCTTCTTTATCCAAAATCTTCCACTTTCTTTGATTCTTTCTTTGGAAAGCTCATTTTTTTGCGACAGATTATTTAAAGATATATAAAGCTATCAATAACTTGAATCCAACATTAGTGGACGATGTTATCGTTATTAAAAAAACATAAAATATGAATTTCCAGCAAACAGTAACATTAGTTTACCCTGTGCAAGAGCAACAACAAATGGCACAGAGACCATTGGATTTATTGGCCAAAAAGTATGGCAAAAGCTACCTATTGAAATTAATGCGTCCCAATCACTACATATTCCTAAGCGAAGCATAAAATCTTTGAAAGATGTCGATCGCAGCTACAGATTGTGTAAATCATTTACTGCACATTTAGTATTTTTTTAAATAATTACTTTTTATTTTCATTGTAAATAGTTGTCTCAAATTAGCTTAATGCTAGATCTCGTTGCCAACTGTAAATAAATTGTTTATTAGTATTATTGTCGCATTATGATCTCGAAAATACGTCATCAGCAATAGACTATTTTTATGATTCAATCACTGATTAACAACTGCACACAACGCACCGTTGGTAAGACTATGCACCACTTGCTATCACTGCAATCATGATTAACTGATTTTATATATGATTAACACATGATTGTGCTTTGACAGCTGAACTTTGGCGCGTTACGACCAGTTACGCATCCTCACTCAATGGCCGAAAAGATAAAGGTGACTACGACATCAACTGTCGCACTTGCGACGTTACTACATTACTTTACTCGTAACTACATATTTTCGCTACTACTTAGTTACGACAACAATTACGGGAGTATTTTTGTCATGTCAATTTTTTGGCCGTAAAGAAAAGTTTTCATTGACTAGTTGGGACAGTTTGCCACTGCTGCCAAGGACCCTGTTGAAATTATCTCGGTAAAATTTCAGTGTTAACGTCGATTTTTAGCAAGTTTAAAGCTACACTTATTAACGAATCAATCGCAATGTAGGATCATGGTACGAAATATCTTAACATATAACATTACGTAACGTAACATAACATGACATAACGTAACGTAACGTAACGTAACGTAACGTAACGTAACCTAACTTAACTTAACTTAACTTAATGTAACATGACATAACATATTTTAACGTATCGTAACCTAACGTAACATAACATAACATAACATAACATAACATAACATAACATAACATAACATAACATAACATAACATAACTCAACTTAACATAACATAACATAACATAACATAACATAACATAACATAACATAACTCAACTTAACATAACATAACATAACATAACATAACATAACATAACATAACATAACTCAACTTAACATAACATAACATAACATAACATAACATAACATAACATTACATAACTTAACTTAACATAACATAACATAACTTAACATAACATAACATAACATAACATAACATAACATAACATAACATAACATAACATAACATAACATAACATAACATAACATAACATAACATAACATAACATAACTAACATAACATAACATAACATAACATAACATAACATAACATAACATAACATAACATAACATAACATAACATAACATAACATAACATAACATAACATAACATAACAAACATAACATAACATAACATAACATAACATAACATAACATAACATAACATAACATAACATAACATAACATAACATAACATAACATAACATAACATAACATAACATAACTTAACATAACATAACATAACATAACATAACATAACATAACATAACATAACATAACATAACATAACATAACCTAACTTAACTTAACTTAACTTAATGTAACATGACATAACATATTTTAACGTATCGTAACCTAACGTAACATAACATGAAATAATGTAACTTAACATAACATACATAACATAACATAACATAACATAACATAACATAACGTAACGTAGCCTAAAATAACATGTTCAAGTCAAAATTAACATAGAAGTTTAAAAATTCACCGCAACACAACTTTATCTTCGTAATTCCAAATTTTAGCTTGCGGAGAGTACTATTGGAAAAGACTATGTACCATTCATCAAACCGCAAAAGGATTATAGCAATCATACTTTGAATCTACCGCAATTAAAATCAGTACCCAGGGCAAGAAGCCCGTCACCACTACCCGACTTAACAGAGGAAGAAATTAAATGCATTGAGAATGCAACAGAATATGAGCTGGTCGAAGTTGCAGGTATGTTATAGATTAATCTCAGAAACAATTATTTGTAGATAACATTATTTCGTTATACAAATTAAGCATATCTTGGCCATTTTATTGAACTTTTGGGGAAATTTTTTTAATTTGTTTTCATCTTCTTTCGATTTTGCGTTATCCTCTGTTTAATTTTCCCGATCTCTTTTTATCCTTGGCTCCCTGTTGCACTTTTTCCACATGGATTTCCTTTCTTCACTTTTTATCCTGCTTTTTATGAGCATTTCTCTCAATCTTTGATACCCTCGATCTTCCCTTCTCCATACCTCCCATTCTGTTCCTTCTACTTTACAACCACTTCTGCTCCTTTCCAACTCGTCCATTCTCTTCATCCCTTTATCTCTCTACCCTCCCTTCCTCATCACTAATTTTATATTTGACCCCCTTCTCCCTAGATTCACATTATTACCCCCCCCTCTCTCGCTTGAATGTAATCTTGCTCTTTTCTGGCAATTTGTAAAATTTCTACATCCTTACATTTCTGCAGCTCAACTGAAAATGAACGAGCTGGTCACAGCTGAGCAAATCGAATCAATAAACAGAGGTGACAAGCATACTGGCACTGGCATTTTAAGACCAAGTGAGTGAACAATAACTATGGCCTTTGACCTTTAACTCTTTGACCTTGTTAAAATTCTCTCTCGACCTAACTTGTGAGCGCAGTGGTTAGAGAATTCCAGCACAAAGCTAGACCGTAAATTCACTTTCATTGATAGTGTCTTGTAACCTTTAAGCCACAAGTATAGTTATATTGAACTCGAAGTCTCCTTAACTTCGATTTTGGGCATTTTAGAAAAACTCGAGAAGATTCTATTGAAAAAGTTTAAACATCCAGTTGAACATCCTTCGTAGGTAACCTTAACAATTACAAGTGAAATTATTCTAAATTTTTTCCAAATGAATGATGTCATTCAACCACTGCTCAGTTTAGCAGCTTCTGCCTGCGAAGAATAGTTTTCATAATTCTACCAGTGGATCACACTCTTTAAACATCACTCAACTACAGTTTATAAATTTGGTGTGTCCCATAAAATCATTTGTTTTCAGTAAACTTCTTCACGCTAGCCCACAGTACGACGGCCTTATTTCTCATGCCATTGCTCTTTAGCTAAAACATACTTGCGCTTTAACTTTTGCGCTTTGACCTTTGACCCGTAGCTCTGGTAAGACCACAATATCCGCAAAAATCCTTTTCAATCGATGACGATGACGATGAGGAGGAGTACATCGATGTTGATGGTATGGTTAAGGCGATGCGCAGCAAAGGCGAAGACATATCCATTATCATGTGCAACAACCAACCATATATGGATCCAGAAGTGCTGGAAGAGATTGCTGCTCACCTATTGGCTAATAAAAACATACGGCATCTATCATTGGCTAATTGTAACTTCACTGATGGTGTTGTTGATGTAAGTGTTGTTAATGATACAATTGTTTGTCACTGAATTGAGTGTTTATTAAATGCAGAGGCATCGCCAATGGTGGGGTACAGAGGGTCTAGTACCCCAACAATTTGTCTGTTGGCACATCGAGAATTTTTGCTGGCAAAAGATGGAATTTCTGCACTCGCTCTGCAACCTTTTGCAACATTTGTGCCATATCAAAATTTTTGTGTAGTTGAACTTTTAAAGTATGGTACTAGAGTATAAATTTTGATACAGAAACGATACATGACACGAATAAATTTGTTTAATGGTTTAGGTCAAAGGTCAATGGTCAAAAGGCAAAAAGCAAAGTTCATTTTCTTTTTTTCTTACAGTCATTCGCAGAAGCACTAGCAAATAATACAAAACTCGAAACGCTTAATCTAGAATCGAATTTTATCACGCCAATTGGTGTAAAGGTGAGTTTTATAAAAAGTTTCTAACCTTTAAATATTTTTGACAAAGCCGCCCTAACTTCAAGAAACGAGACAGTGCGTTGATTCAGTTTGTGTATTGGGTTTGAAGTTTCAGTAGTGTATTAAAGATATTGGACAATACACTTGGTCTTAAGTGATTAAATTCATGACGAGAAATTCCTTTGACCTTCCAAGCTGAGTTTGTGAATCATTAAAGTTCTCTCTCGATAAATTTTTAATCAGGATACAGTTAAAGTTTTGTAATATTCTTTTCTTAGTCATCCATCTTTATATCCTTACTTGAAACAGAAAAAGACAATGGTTCTAATCTTTAGACAATGATTCAGATCCTTTGAAAGACACACAAAAGAGGAAACTTCATCTCAAACATTTTCTTATCTTCCTGCTTTTGAAATTATGCTCAAACTTAAACATGTTTTGTCATTCTTTCTCGTCATAGAAAATCCTTGATGCGATTCAAGACAGCAAGAGTTTGAGGGAGATTCGTTTGGAAAATCAAGTAATATACACTTCAAGTTTATACCATTCTTAACTTTTTGCAAAGAAACAAATAGTGTAAAAGCAATTATGTTTAGGCTGCTTTGTGGGATCGACAATATCTTTGACTAAGGCTGACAGATTTTAGGATTTTCTTTCAGTTTACACGGCTTGAATTTTTCTTTAGAAACTTCAAGCGGTGTACTCTTTCTGTCGTCCTATACATCAATGATAACTTGTAAGGTTGAAGTTTCGTAGAGGTCGTTCGTTTTTATCTTTCAGTCTTGGTTTTTTTTTCTTTTTTGAGAGCCGAATGCGATCTTTTGGGTCTTTTTGGGCTTTTCACTCTCTTATGAATTTTCCTCTTTGCATTTCAGTACAGCAAAATTGGACCGAAGTGTGAAGCTGAAATGGCAGCTTGCATCGAGAAGAACTTCACGCTGCTTAGCTTTGGTTATAGCTTCGAAACAAGGGGACCAAGAGATGCAATGAACCGATTTATTCTTAGAAATAACGACCTTTGTAAGTAGAAAAATTTAATATTTATATAAACAAATTTGAAGATGCTTATATGCTAGGCAGACAAAAACCCGAAAAGGTCAAGGGTCACAAAGGCTGGTCACCTCTAGAACCTGGTCCATCAGTTTGATCATGACACCCTAAGATTGGCAATTTAGGAGGAGTTGAACTGGACCATACATAATAATCTCTGGGAAAGGGTGAAACAATCCTTTTTGAGTTTGAAACATGACCAAACTTTTTGCTTGAAAAGATCAAGGGTCACAGGGGCTGGTCACCTTCAGAGCCTGGTCCGTCAATTTGGTAATGACACCCTAGAAATTTGAAATTTGGGAGGAATTGGACTGGGCCATACATGATAATCTCTGGGAAAGGGTTAAACAATCCTTTGTGTAGTTTGAAACATGACCAAACTTTTGCTTGAAATGGTCAAGAGTCACAAGGGCTGGTCATCTTTGGAACCTTGTCCGTCAGTTTGGTAATGACACCCCGGAAATTTGAAATTTGGAAGGAAATGTACTGGACCATACATAATAATCTCTGGGTAGGGGGGGGGTTTTAATTAAACAATCCATTGTGTAGTTCCAGTCCCTAACATGACCAAACTTTCGCTTACAGTGAGGAGAAGTGAAAACTCTCTGTGATTCTAGGCGTAATCTTCCTGGGAGCTTTTCAATGCAAGACAGATTGCTATTAGATGCACGAAAATTGAGTTTAATTTCTTCATCAAAAAAGATTCATGAACTGTAATTACGAAAAAAGAAGACCTATGAAGTTGGTAACCTACTGTCAGGTCATATGGGCTTGTTTTTCTAGCGGAAATATTCCTGGCGTCCGCATCACGAGAAAACTTTCAAAATGCCATACCATAATGCATTCAATCAAAGACATTTTTCGTTTTTTCAGTACGAGCAGCAAGACGAAACGGGGAGAAGTGTTACAATTTACCGGAACAAAAAAGAATCATCGCAAAATTTAGGCCACCATGGGTTTTGAGAAGACCAAAGAGAAGAGGACCAGATTCTTTTGAAGGAAGAAAAATTGTCATGCGAGGCGACAGCAAAAAGAAAAAGAAAAAGGGCCCGGCCATGATGAACGAAATGTTGGCAAAGGCGGCACAGGTATGGTGACTTTATTGTACTGTACTGTACTGTACTGTACTGCACTGCACTGCACTGCACTGCACTGCACTGCACTGCACTGCATTGCACTGTACTGTACTGTACTGTACTGTACTGTACTGTACTGTACTGTACTGTACTGTACTGTACTGTACTGTACTGTACTGTACTGTACTGTACTGTACTGTACTGTACTGTACTGTACTGTACTGTACTGTACTGTACTGTACTGACTGTACTGTACTGACTGTACTGTACTGTACTGTACTGTACTGTAACTGTAACTGACTGTACTGTAACTGTACTGTACTGTTACTGTACTGTACTGTACTGTACTGGTACTGTACTGTACTGTACTGGTATCTGTACTGTACTGTAACTGTACTGTACTGTACTGTACTGTACCTGTACTGTACTGTAACTGTTTACTGTACTGTACTGTACTGTACTGTATCTGATACTTGTACTGTACTGTGCTTACCTGTACTGGAATCTGTACTGTACTGTACTGTAGCCTGTACCTGGTACTGTATCTGTACGTACTGTAACTGTACTGTAACTGTACTAGTACTGTACTGTACTGTTACTGTACTTAAACTGTAACTGTACTGTAACTGTACTGTAGCTGTAACTGTACTGTACTTGTAGCTGTATGTCTGTACTGTACTGTACTGTTACTGTACTGTACTGTACTGTACTGTACTGTATGTACTGTACTGTACTGTACTGTAACTGTACTGTACTGTACTGTACTGTACTGTACTGTACTGTACTGTACTATACTGTACTGTACTTTACTGTACTGTACTGTACTGTACTGTACTGTACTGTACTGTACTGTACTGTACTGTACTGTACTGTACTGTACTGTACTGTACTGTACTGTACTGTACTGTACTGTACTGTACTGTACTGTACTGTACTGCACTGCACTGCACTGTACTGTACTGTACTGTATTGCAATGCATTGTACTGTTCAATTTCCTTTCCAGGTCAGCAAAAGATGGGAAGATAAGGAAAAGACGGGTGAACTCAGCTCCGAATTCCAGCGCATTGAAGAGCAGTCAAAGAAGAAAGTTGAAGGTGACACTGCTACTGAAAACAAAGACGAAAAACCCAATGAAGAAGATTCTAGCAGAAGAAGACGTGGAAGAAGAAATCGTGAAGATGCAGTCGATGAAGAAGATGATGATGTTGGCGCGGTTAATGGAGAGGTGGGAAGAAATTCCATTCTATCTACTTCAAATCTTCCATTCTCTGGATTTTATCATAGAAACAACTTTCTAATTTGATTTTCTTTGAAAGAATTAACAGCCTTCGGAAACGTTTGTAAAGTCATCTTTCTGGAAAGGTGTCATTTTTTGATATTTTGGAAAATATCTCTGGCGCCTGCAATCGTATGCAATAATTTTTTAATCTGCAAACTTTTGCCAATCTTATCAGATTTAGCCGCCTAACATGTTTTTGGCACTATTTACTTTAGGTCATGTGCCGTAACGTACGTTAGCCAGTTATACGATACCCAAGTTATAAACTCCGGATTGGAGCCTCAGTTGGGTACATGCTGGACATCGCATTGAAACGTTGCAGATTCGATAGTGTGTTTGCCGAATGCGTTTGGACAAATTCCAAATGCATTAGAAATTATATCTGTATGTGTGAATGGGAAATAGAAATTGACGTGCGTAAATAATGGCAATACTGAAGATGAAGTTATGTAAACAGAAATTGAAAGCGTTCATCAGTTATTTTTAATGTTATTTGTTGTTCTTAGGAGGGCCGAAGAAGAGGAAAAGATTCAGCTTCTGCAATTAACAGTGCTGAGGGAATGGGTGCAATGCAGCGAAGGAGGGGTAGAAGAGGAGAGGACCTGGAGGATGACGACGCTCAAAGTAACCAAAAGGAGACGGATGATCAAGACGAGGCTGATGGGAAACGAGGCAAAGGCAAAATGGATCCCGAGACAAGAAAAAGAGCAATGCGTGGTGGGAAAGTTGTTGAGGATGAGCAGGTAACTAGCAGCTGTAATGGGGGCATATGTTTGTGGGGGATGGGGGGATGATTTCTAAGGGGGCATTGACATGCTTTCTACTCATTTATGATAAGAGCTTGAAATAACAGTTATAGGGCTTTGAAATGCATCATAAAAATAGTTGTTCATGGTATCAAAAAATTTCATTGGAAATTGGTATAAACTTGATGTATATTTACTTTATTCCTGGTTTAAATTTCAATAATTTCATTATTGTTTAAATAGTTTCCTTAAACACTGTCTTAGGTACCTCTTGGAGCAGCGACGCGTAGGCGCAAGAAAGTTGACGATGACGAGCCGGAGGAGCTTGATTTCAGTCAATTCGAGCAAAAAGAAGCTGATAAGGAAGAAGAGGCCGAGGAGGCCAGCAACCCCTCGAGCAAAACGCGCATTCCCTCGGGTAGGCAGATCGCAGGACAGCAAGTTGCGTCTCTAGATAACGCTCCAATGCGAAGGAGAAGGAACAAGATACCCGCGGATGATGAAGAAGATTTAGATGCAATGCTTAGCAGTGTGGACGGGGGGAGCACTCAGCCTAAGGAGAGAAAGAAACTGCCAAACGGTAAGTGGTAGAAACTTGCAATAATAATTCGATTAGTTAATAATCCCCCCGTTAATTATTGCAGAAAATGTATAGGGAATGTACAGATTGTTAGAGCAAACCAGATAAGACTAGATAATATATGACTAGACAGGACAATATATTATCATAAGAAACAGTAAAATACAAAATAGTACAATAAATTACGATACAATATAAAAAATACAATACAATACAATACATTACAATACAATACAATACATTACAATACGATACGATACGATACGATACGATACGATACGATACGATACGATACGATACGATACGATACGATACGATACGATACGATACGAAACAATACAATACTATACAATACAGTACAATACAAAATAGTACAATAAAGTGCAAAACATCACAGTACAGTACACAGTACACAGTACGCAGTACACAGTACACAGTATACGGCACACAGTACAGTGCTATTCGACGAAACAAACACAACACAACGCAAAACGTTGTACAGACGTTAAATTGTGATAGAATGCGATACTAGCCAATACAGTAACAACACAATACAATATCGTAGCACAGTACAATACAATAAAGCACAAACAATATTTTACAAAACAATACAATAAAATGAAACACAATCAGATACAACACAATGCAACATAATATATGAAACAATACAGTTCAGTACAATATTATGAATGACATTACAATACAAATGATGAAATATGATACAGCGTGATATAGGGTACCTAATAGTTGCACTACTGTACACTCAAATAGAGGCAGTTACAGTAGAATATTAGAAAATATTAGGAAACTTGAAAGGGCTGTTCTTTTAGAGCCACTTGAAGGAGAGGTCGACAATGATACGGTACGGCGTAGGAGAAGAAGAGAAGATGACGAAGGAGAAAGCCTCGATGATATTTTGGATTCAGTTCCTCGAAAAGAGGCTGATGAGGACGAGTTCGAAAACGATTTGGATGAAGACGAGACTGTAGATAATAGCGGTCACAGTCGAGTCCCAAGCGGTATGAAATGAGTGTTCAGGCGTGTATTAGCGTGTTATGGCGTGTTTTGGCGTGTTTTGGCGTTTTTTTTTCAGCTTTAAGTCTTGCTACTTGCAAAAGCCATCTTGAGTGAATATATGCATCAAATAAGGTGCCCGTTTTCTCGCTGATAAAGAAATGTCATGCAGTTTTTTTCGGGTAAGTCATAAATCTCCCGGCATGAGTAAAGACTAGCTGCCTAAATGGGATCCGAATGCCTTAAGACAAGGGTTGTGTAACACTGACCTGGGGATTTCTCATCAAACCCCCAGGTTCTGAAGGTCCCATGTGCATCTCTTGACCCCTTGGATAGTCCAATCGACCCTCAAGTGACGTCATGAGCCATTTGAAGACAACTGCCTTCCATCACATTGAAGACTCCAGCAGGTGTCCCCACAGCTTCCCTACAGCTGCTTTCATTTGTGATTCCCTATATCTGACCCTCCTTTTAACCTCACTGCCCCACAACTGTGTGTACCAGAGGTGGCTCAACGGCACTTTCAGCTGCTATCTCTCCCGGGAAATTTGCAGCTTAAGGCACAAGGGGAATTCACCGGTTCAGCAGCTGTTTCTCACTGGCACATCTGAACTAAAGGTGCCAGGGGAACATGTCCCCAGGTATTTCGAAGACTGTCCCTTTTCTTGGAAGCATCCTTTTAGAGTTTTTGGTCAAACATCGCTTTTCTGCGGCCTGTATTATCTTCCTGCCTGTTTCCCTCCCATTTTTAAGTGTATGCGACACCCCTGGTCCCTTACAACTGTCCCCAACATTATTTTCGCTCCCACTGCCCTGCAATCGTTAACTTTCATTCACTGTGTTTGATACCCTGTATCCATCTCTTGACAGGAAAATCAATCGGAGCACAGCCAGTCAACAGAATGGAGACAGCTTCAATGAAGGGTAGGCGAAGGCGAAGGGTCCCGGATGATGAAGAGGGCGAAAGCCTAGACGATCTTTTGAAGTCAGTAGACAAAAAGGCGGAGCCAGAAGAACAGACCAATGATGATACCGAGGCACAAGAAGCCGAAGATAAAGAGTCTCATTCGAGGAGAGAATCTGCTACTAAACTGCCCACAGGGAGACAAGTAAGAAAACAAGAGGTAAGACAAATTTCTCAACTTTTACTTGGCTTATTGTAAGTCGACAGAAGATATGAAATTGTGATTAATAATGGACGGGATATAACGCACAGGAAGACATTAACCGCGTTTTTTGTACTCCTACTGTTTTGCTCAACCCAAGAGTAAGTGACGACATTCACGAGGTTGATGCGCGGGAAACTAAGACAAACGTCATTTGCAACAACATGACTCATTTTATGCGCGGAAGGACTGGGCGAATGCTATTTAATATAATTCAGCTCTTGCTGGAAACGCCAAGAAAACATCAAAACGGGCAGGATGTGTCCCATTTGATGCGCAGGAGAACCCGACATAAGCTAATCAACATGTCTACATTTTTGCTGAACACGCCAATAGAACACTTACTTACGGGATATGATGCGTTCTATGCGCGGGTGAGCTGGAAAAGCACGACTTTCTGCAGCTTGACTCGTATTTGTGTTACACGTAGACGCTAAGCCACCTGCTACAGAACTATTCTCAACAGACTCGCAGAAATGCGAACATGGACGGGACATTACGCATTTGAAGCGCGGGAAACTTCAGATATCATTTATCAAACATTTTAATATGATGATTTAAGATAAACCCAGTCATTCAACATTTTCGAAAACACGTCAAGGCCATTTGGACCCAATGAAAAACCGGATTATGTTGTAATCCACGCTCTTCGACGTTGGTAAAGTAAAGGTAAAGGTTAGTCCCCCGTATTCGATATCGAACGTTGGAGAATGCGCTGTTAGGGGCGCATCGTCCTGAGCCATGGCATTGTGTGGTAGGGTGGGCAGTTCCTTTCCACGCTGCTTTAACCTCTCTAGTATGTTACGGCTAGGTACTCATTTTCAGCTGAGTGAACTGAGGGCGGTCTGCTGGCTTAGCATATCCTAAATTGTTAAAACATTAGAAAGCAATGGCTGTATCAATTTAAAACAGCTATTTTGCTATCAGCCAGTAGCTTTGGTAAATTAAAAACTCTGGTTTTATCTGCTATATATTAATAGGTATCGCAGCAGGAAATTATGAAACGAAGTTTTCAAAACAGAAACAAGCATACAATTAAGCATTTTTGACTGAGAAGACATTTACGCCACAAACCAAGACCACAAATTACGAAGATTCGAAACCAAATGCATCAACATTACTTGTTCGAAACTGCTTGTTCGGAAACGCTGTTTGTAGCACATTCATTAATGCATATACCTTCAGCAATATTCAGTCACCAAACTGGTTGTTATGAAGACGAAACATATTTGGTCACGCACGATACATGTAAAGAGGCATTGCGCTACAAATAGACATTGGTACCAAAGAGTGACAGAAACTGGGCGACAGTGCCAAAACTACTTGCTCAACTTATTATCAAAAGCTGTTTGTAGCACATTCATCAATACATACACCCTCAATACTGGTTTCCCAGATAACGAAACATATTTGGCGATACACAATGCGTGTAAAATGACAGTGAGTTGAAAATGATTTTGGTACCAAAGTGTGACGGAAACTTAGGGACTGTGCCAAAACTACTTGCTTTACTTATTCTCAAACGCTGTTTGTAGCACATTCATCAATACATACACCCTCAATACTGGTTTCCCAGATAGCGAAACATTGTTGGCGATACACAATGCGTGTAAATGGCAGTGGTTTGAAAATGATTTGTGCACCAAAGTGTGACAAAAACCTAGTGCCAAAACTACTTGCTCAACTTGTTCGAAACACTGTTTGTAGTACATTCGTTAATGCATACACCCTAAACAGTGGTTTTCCAGGTGACCTAACATAGTTGGCGATGCACAATACGTGTAAGATGACAGTGAGTTGAAACTGATTTTTGTACCAAAATGTGACAGATACCTAATCACTGTGGCAAAACTACTTGTTCCACTTGTATGAAAGCGCCCTTTTGTAGCACATTCATTAATGCATACACCCCAAACAATTTTTAGCCACCAATTACACTGATTTTCAGGATGACGAAACATAGTTTGGAATACAGGGTGCTTAAAAAATGGCGGTGGGTTTCAGATGACATTTGTACCAAAGAGTGACAGAAACGGGACGACAGTGCCAAAGCTTCTTGCTCAACCTGCTCGAAAACGCTGTAATTCATTAATGCATTCACCTTCAACAACATTCAACCACAAATTCCAATGGTTTTAAGTTGGCAATGCGCGATGTGTGTAAGAGCAGTTGGGCTAAAAATAACGACTATACCAAAGAGTGACAGAAACTGGGTGACAGTGCCAAAACTTCTTGTTCAACCTGTTCTAAAACGCTGTTAGTAGCACATTCATTAATGCATTCACCTTCAACAAAATTTAACCACAAATCACAATGGTTTTAAGTTGGCGGTGCAGAATATGTGAAAGCGTCATTGGGCTATAATTGCTGTTTGTTCCAGGAAGTGACAGAAACCGGGTGACAGTGCCAAAACTTCATGTTCAACTTGTTTGAAAACGCTGTTAGTAGCACATTCATTAATGCATTCACTTTCAACAACATTCAAACAAAAACTACAATGGTTTTAAGTTGGCGACAGACGATATGTGTAGGAGTTGTTTGGCTACAAATAACGTTTGTTCCAGAAAGTGACAGAAACCGGATGACAGTGCCAAAACTTCATGTTCAACTTGTTTGAAAACGCTGTTAGTAGCACATTCATTAATGCATTCACCTTCAACAACATTCAATCAAAAATTACAATGGTTTTAATTTGGCGACGGACGATATGTGGCTACAAATAACGTTTGTTCCAGAAAGTGACAGAAACTGGATGACAGTGCCAAAACTTCATGTTCCACTTGTTTGAAAACGCTGTTAGTAGCACATTCATTAATGCATTCACCTTCAACAACATTCAACCACAAATTACAATGGTTTTATGTTGGCGACGGACGATATGTGTAGGAGTTGTTTGGCTACAAATAACGTTTGTTCCAGAAAGTGACAGAAACTGGATGACAGTGCCAAAACTTCATGTTTAACTTGTTTGAAAACGCTGTTAGTAGCACATTCATTAATGCATTCACCTTCAACAACATTCAATCAAAAATTACAATGGTTTTAAGTTGGCGACGGACGATATGTGGCTACAAATAACATTTGTTCCAGAAAGTGACAGAAACCGGATGACAGTGCCAAATAATCTTGTTCAACTTGTTTGAAAACGCTGTTTGTTACAAAATGATTACTCATAAACTTCCAACAACATTCAACCACCAATTACACTTGTGACAAAACAAAGTTGGTGGTAGACAATACGTATGCAATGGCGTTGGGGTACAAATGACATCTGTACCATAAGGCGACAGAGACTGGTTCAAAAAGTCGAGAAATTGACCTCCTGAAAAAATGTATGTGAATTTAATTCTTCAGGTAGCAGAACTATCTCCGTTGTCTTTCAAAAATCGACGTCGAAACAAGGTTTACGACGATGAAGAAGAAGATATCGATTCGCTGTTGAGTTCTGTTGCTCGGAAAAATGACGATCAGGTTGATGAAGAAGATGTGCTGGATGGGGATGACACTGCGGATGTGGGAAAAACAAAGAGATTACCACGTGGTCAAAGGTTAGAGGACGTAGGAGCGGATAGATTCGAAGCAGCGACAATGAAAGGCAGACGGAGGCGAAACAAAGATGGCGAAGAAGATATTGATGCGGTGAGTATGGATGAGGAAGATGAGGAAGAAGGGGAATATGCTGTAAATGGAGAAGGTACCAGGAATGATGCAAGGAAGAAGCATCGCCCTGGCGTTGCTCATGGAAAGGAAGGACTCGGTGCAGCAACAAGAAAAGGGCGGCGTCATCATGACTTTGAGGATGATGACATTGTTGATGACGTCACTGATTCTGCAGAGAGTGCAGGAGAAAGTAGCGATGCATCGGCTAGAAAAGAAAACAGTCAGAATGTCGGTAAGAAAGAAAAAAGTGCTCGAATACCCAAAGGAAGACAGCTAACGACCCAAGCAAGAGAAGGCCTTGGTGCCGTGACCATGAAAGATAGGCGTCGTCGTGTCATACACGATGAAGAGGAAGATATCGATTCGATATTAGCAGACGCTGTCGTTGAGAAACATGACACAGAAGACAGTACAGATCAAAATAACAATGATGTAGGCAAACAAAGGGATCCAAGGATACCTAAGGGTGAAAGAATTACAGCTCCTCTACAAAGTGGTTTAGAGGCCGCTTCCTTCAAAGGCAGGCGCCGAAATAAAATTGTTGACGAGGTAAGCAGAAAAAATTAGTGAAAGGAGAGTTCATGAATCGAAAAGTGAATATCCTGAAATCAGGTAATGTATTAGTCTTTTAAGGATCACAGCGAAAGGAGTGTAATCGTCAGCGCCCTATTTTGGGTCTATTAGCCAAATTATTTAAGTAAGAATTTACGAGCAAAATTAACGCCTTTTAGCTAGTGTTAGCTACGTGTTACCATTTGTAACCAAAAGTAACTGCCTGTGATCAATAGAATCATTTGTTTCTTCTTTAACCAAGGAAGATATTAGTAAAAGGAAACTACTTGTAATCTTTCGTAACCATTGGTACCTGCCTGTTATCAATGACATCATTTCCTTCACTTAGTAACTGATATAAGTGCCACAGATAACCATATGTAACTAACAGTAACTATCTGAAATCGCTTGCTCAATAAGTTGGTTACCGCAGTCCGTAGTAACATATGTTTCAGTAGAAAGTAGGGAGTCATATAAGACAGGCATCCTCTAGAGGAATCATGTGACTTCGGCAGCCATAAATTACAACAGTTCATTGGCAGAGCATGTTTCTAGAATTAGATGAAGATAACTTAATGTAATTAGTCTCAGGTCCACCAATAGTATTGCAGCTCGAGAATAATAGCTGAATTCATTCTGGTATAGCCTCGTCTTTTGTAACGATTCAATGTTTCATTTTCTTGATTCTAGATAACATCCATTTTTCATTCAACAGGAGGAAGACATCGACAAACTACTTTCAACCGCCCCTTCTACTAAGAAGGAGGAAGGGAAGTCCAACAAGGACAGCACGGAAAAAGTATGAGCCGATTGTACTTTAATCATCGTTATTGATGACATAATAATTAGTCGTCTAGTATTCAAGGAAAGCTTTTTGATGTCCCTCATTATGAGGATAAGGAGACGGGTGTTAGTTTTGTGATATACCCCTTGTCAAGCCGCATATCTCTAGAAACCTCACGTGAAGTAACCCTTTGATCTTACAAAAAGTCATAAATGCTCTTTCCATGAGCTTGAAATATTTGTAGTTTATATTGCTTATAATTTTAGATTATACAGGCGTCATTGTTTAATTCAAACCGTGGTTCCATTGTGAACTTAGTTCAAAAAGTTTTATAGGGGTTTTGTAAAATTAATCGTCATCTAAGTTGAGAAAGATTCTACCTCAGAAATTTTGCAGAATGAAACCCACACTCGTGTGAACGATTCTTGCTTTCCACATCTAACTACTGCCACTATAGGATGTGTAACATGTTTTTATTTGAATAAGTGCTTTGGCAGTGCAAAATTTGAAAACGGCTTTGAAAGAAAAACAAACATTTCACAACATTCAGAGAGTCCTGAGAGTTTTATACGTCAAAATTAGGTTCCAACAAAACATCGGGCTTTTTTCTCATTGGTCTATTTCGATCCACAACTGAGTATACATTTTCAATCTTGTTATTTTGGACCCTTATTCTGACGTTTTATAATGACAATCATAACATTTACTATTTGCAGTCTGAGAGTTTTGCCGAAAAAAGGCGGCGCCGACGAGGCGAAGATGGGCAGGAGAAGAATGACGAGGAGGTAAGATATTTTATCAAGGCTTGAGCAGCAATAATAATTTTTCTCAGAGCTTGCTACTTTATCGCTGTACTTTATTTACTGTTCATATTTACCTACTGACCAATCAAAACCCTCCAGTTCCCAAACGGGTAACTGAGCAGCTTCTATTTGATTGGCTTGATTTTCCTCACTGCTATTTCAAACCTGTGTGAAACTTATTTAGAGACTAACTGCGTTCAGTGCAAGTCAACGTAAGTGACAAATAAGGTGACATTGTTTGATGCCTCTCTTTAATTGGCTTGAATAGCAGTCTTGATTGTTCTCACTGCTATTTCAAACCTGTGCGAACTGTATCTAGAGACTAACTGCGTTCAGTGCTAATCGACGAAAGTGACATTGTGTGACATGATCTATCGCCTTAGACCGTCGCCAATGGCTACCAAGAAGATGTTGACACCCGTCACGAACGCCGCAGGCAACGCCCTAAGGATGATGACGATGACGTAGACGCTGAGAAAAAACGGGCCCAACGCAGGAAACAACGTGAGGCGAATACCGAAGAGAAAGTTTCAAACGGAACTGCGAAGGAAGCAAAGCCTGCTCCTGTGGAGGAGAAGAAAGCCCCGGAAGCAAAGAAACCAGCACCTGTTATAAAAGTGCCGGAAAGGCCAGTGGTTGATATGTCGAAGCCAATGTCACTAAGAGAGAGACGAAGACTGAAGGAACAAGGACTTTTATAAAGTTATGATTGCACTTATTTTGCAGATGTCCTGTGTTGCTTCTATTTGTATCATATACGCTGTTTTGATGTATCCTATAGGTAAATGCATTCAAGGAATCCTACTTATGCTTAATTCTAAGTTATGTAGACTTAACGAGTTGACACCATGTAAGTTCAAAGGCTATGAGTTAAAAGTCATGATCTTTGACCTTAGTAAGAATTTTGGAAGCCATTTTAAAGGGTTAAAGTCAAAAGTGATGATTGTGACCTTGGTGAAATCCTTTTAGACCAACGTATGCTCAAAGCCTGTGCGTCAAGGCTTTGATCTGTGACCTTAGGAACAATATAAGTTCAAAAGGCCAGAGCCATATGTCAAGATAGTGATTGTAGCAGAAAGTCTTGACTCGATGTTCAATAAGATGAAGGGCTATTAGTTCATCCTGAAGATCAGTTTTTCTTGATGACGGGCCAACCGTGCATAAATAATTTTAAATAATTCTTGTTAAGTGAGATGAAACGAGTCAAAGGTCATGACCTCCAGTAATAGGTCATTGAAAGGTTAAGATTAAAGGACAGTCGTGATGTAATTTAACTAGTGCAACTGTGGCCTATCTAATGAATTCTTCCAGTTAGCGATTAACCCACTATAACCAGGTGACATACGAGCTTAAAATGTACCGAGCGTAGTATGTGCTTTTATTCAGATGTTGCCACGATGCAAGTTGGATTCAGATATTTGTCCCAGGCAGTTGAGACACGATTTTTGTCCGAATGAATCAGTACTTCAACCGCGGGAGAAGCGCGTGTTTTGAATTCAGCATCCGACTGCTATAATGCTTCTGCGTACATAACTGCGAGAATCATTTATTGCGAGAATCCTGCATATTCAAATCCCTCAAGAAATCTGTTTTTAAATCCCGCGTTTTTTACAAAGTAAGTCCTGCAGGGTCCCGCGTTCATTGTAGCACTGCTGCAACTTTGTGAGATCTGCGCTTTCCAACAAATTCCATTCAACAATATAAGAGAACGAATTTGTTTCTTTGGTGCTTCGGGTTGCATTTTATTAACGCTTCTTGTGGTTGTAAGTCGAACGATATCAAGCAGCAAAATTTGTTTGTACCACTAAATGTTAATTTATCAATATTAATTGAATTCAGAAAGTTTTTTGTAAAGTCTTGCTTTAGTTAACTTTATCTTATGTTAAAAATATCGTCTTTTATACATATATAGTCTGAATGGTGCATTTTCTCTAGCTATATTCTAAAGGAATTTGATTTTTAAGCCCAGCTTGAAACATTAGAAATGGCAAATTGAGAATAACTGACCAAAACATGGACTGATTTCCCAACAATTTGCAGCAAGAGCAGAAAATTTAGATTTCAAGAGTAAAATTCTAGATGCCTGTCACGGGAGACTCACTGCGGCCAGGGGGTGTAGTGCTACCAGAATAACAACGAGGCCTCTAGGGCAAAATAGTGTAAAAACATTTTGCTCTCGAGACACTGCACCCCTGGTCGTGACTGTTTGGCAATTTATTCAAACCCCTGCATCAACGGATCTTCAAGTCCCAAATGAGCGACCTGCACGTTCTCTGTGGCAGGTCAACAAAAGGTTTTGTGAGTAGGGGAGCAAGTTTATTGGACAAACCATACGAGACTTTTGTTTGGATATTCAAAGTAGGTCAAAATGAGAAGAAACAAGGAGCTGTGCATAGCTCGGCCGTGAAGTGCCACGTTTGATGTATTTTCGATAAAAATGGCAGGAAATATCAACTTGGTTGTTATGCCAAAAGTATACTGGAAGAGTTGAAGCATTTAACATTTAGACGAAAGCGGCTTCCATTCGTATACATTTTAATCGAATACCATAGTACACGATATCTTGTCATTAAAGCGAGGATATTGTGTGCGACAAAGGTTTAGCAGCACCAAATTGTTGAAAAGTGGAAAATACGTTCAGTTTGAAGAGAGTTAAAGGCAGACAACGTTCTCTCGGTGCTTCGAATTAAGATGAAAGTGCCCATCGGACAAGAGCTGTTTGAAACCAATGGAGTTTGACTTCTAGTGGAGAAAGAGCCAAAAGTTCTGACCGTGAGGAAGTGAATGTGTCGAAGACAATCCTGGTGCGTTGGCCTAACAAACTACAGCCAGAGTCAAGAAAACCTGATTCATTACAACCCACTAACGGTGAAACCTTTACAATTCGTGCTGGTGTACTGCAAAGCGGAAGCAATCATCAACACGAGAGAGGAATCTTTTTACATATGATGGTTTTCCCTGCTGTCACAAACGATCTGTAGCCCAATTCACCAAGATTTCAATGTGGCAGATATATACTGGCTAGGAAATTCTTACATTTCAAGAAGTAAGTGACGTTTATTTATTGGAAATTCTTGAGCAATTTTGAACTTAATAATTCTTGCACCTAGATCTTCAATCAAATCCAAATGTAAGTTTAATACCGGTTTAGAAAGTTACCATTTACAAAGAGGTAACGAAAGGCCACAGCTTACTCAAGGCTTTATTTTTCAAACACTTACGTTTTGTCCTTTCGACAAAGGAATTGATCTTAGATGCAATATTCCGGACCCATATTCTTCGCTTGTCTGTCATGATTAAATAAAGAAAATTATCTACTTCTCAAACAGCGACATTTAACAGCGCCAAAATTTGATTCAAACCGATAGATAAAGGCTTAGTAAAATCGTCAATTTGTTTAAAAATTTTTTCATCTTAAAAACAGGTTGATTATCTTTATTATAATCATGAAGAACTTAAAGAGCAGTTTAGTTTCGGGAAGAAAGTCAATCCTTCTGGAAATTAAGTGATTTTTAGGGCGGATATTTTTTGATAAAAAAGCAAGGCTAAAGGCTTAGAAAAATCGTCGAATTTTTTGAAAAAATTTCTGTCTAAAAACAGGCTGCTTCGTTTCAATATGATCAGAATAAACTAGAAATCAGTTTAGTTTCAGGAAAAAAGTCGATTTTTTGAAGATATAAGTGATTTTTAGAACGGTCATTTTTTGATGAAAAAGTAAAGCTATAGGCTTAGAAAAATCGTCGATTTTTTTGAAAAAAATTTCTGTCTAAAAACAGGCTGCTTCGTTTCAATATGATCAGAATAAACTAGAAATCAGTTTCTTTTCGGAAAAAAAGTTGATATTTTGAAGAAATAAGTGATTTTAAGAGCGGTCATTTTTTGATGAAAAAGTAAGGCTATAGGCTTAGAAAAATCGTCGATTTTTTTGGAAAATTTTTTGTCTAAAAACAGCTTGTTTAGCTCTCGTATGATCAGAATAAAAAAGAAATCAGTTTAGTTTCGGAAAAAAAGTTGATTTTTTGGAAGAAATAAGTGATTTTAAGAGCGGTCATTTTTGGATGAAAAAGTAAGGGTATAGGCTTAGAAAAATCGTCAATTTTTTTGAAAAAATTTTCTGTCTAAAAACAGGTTGTTTAGCTCTAGTATGATCAGAATAAACTAGAAATCATTTAAGTTTCGGGAAAAAAGTTGATTTTTTGAAGAAATAAGTGATATTAAGAGTGGTCATTTTTTTGATGAAAAAGTAAGGCTATAGGCTTAAAAAAATCGTCGATTTTTTTGGAAAAATTTTCTGTCTAAAAACAGGTTGTTAAGCTTAAATATGATCAGAATAAACTAGAATTCAGTTTAGTTTCGGAAAAAAAGTTGATTTTTTGAAGAAATAAGTGATTTTAAGAGCGGTCATTTTTTGATGAAAAAGTAAGGCTATAGGCTTAGAAAAATCGTCGATTTTTTTGGAAAAATTTTCTGTCTAAAAACAGGTTGTTTAGCTCTAGTATGATCAGAATAAACTAGAAATCAGTTTAGTTTCGAAAAAAAGTTGATTTTTTTGAAAGAAATAAAGTGATAAATGTAAGAGAGGTCATTTTTTGATTGAAAAAGTAAGGCTATAAAGGACTTAGAAAAACCGTCGATTTTTTATATTAGGAAAAATTCTTCCTGTCTAAAACACAGGTTGTTTAGCTCTAGTATGATCCAGAATAAACTAGAAATCAGTTTAGTTTCGAAAAAAAGTTGATTTTTTGAAGAAATAAGTGATTTTAAGAGCGGTCATTTTTTGATGAAAAAGTAAGGCTATAGGCTTAGAAAAATCGTCGATTTTTTTGGAAAAATTTTCTGTCTAAAAACAGGTTGTTAAGCTTAAATATGATCAGAATAAACTAGAATTCAGTTTAGTTTCGGAAAAAAAGTTGATTTTTTGAAGAAATAAGTGATTTTAAGAATGGTCATTTTTTGATGAAAAGTAAGGCTATAGGCTTAGAAAAATCGTCTATTTTTTTGGAAAAATTTTCTGTCTAAAAACAGGTTGTTAAGCTTAAATATGATCAGAATAAACTAGAATTCAGTTTAGTTTCGGAAAAAAGTTGATTTTTTGAAGAAATAAGTGATTTTAAGAGCGGTCATTTTTTGATGAAAAAGTAAGGCTATAGGCTTAGAAAAATCGTCGATATTTTGGAAAATTTTTCTGTCTAAAAACAGGTTGTTTAGCTCTAGTATGATCAGAATAAACTAGAAATCAGTTTAGTTTCGAAAAAAAGTTGATTTTTTGAAGAAATAAGTGATTTTAAGAGCGGTCATTTTTTGATGAAAAAGTAAGGCTATAGGCTTAGAAAAATCGTCGATTTTTTTGAAAAAATTTTCTGTCTAAAAACAGGTTGTTTAGCTCTAGTATGATCAGAATAAACTAGAAATCTGTTTAGTTTCAGGAAAAAAGTTGATTTTTTGGAAGAAATAAGTGATTTTAAGAGCGGTCATTTTTGGATGAAAAAGTAAGGGTATAGGCTTAGAAGAATCGTCGATTTTTTTGGAGATATTTTCTGTCTAAAAACAGGTTGTTTAGCTCTAGTATGATCAGAATAAACTAGAAATCAGTTTAGCTTCGGAAAAAAAGTTGATTTTAAGAGCGGTCATTTTTTCATGAAAAAGTAAGGCTATAGGCTTAGAAAAATCGTCAATTTTTTTGAAAAAATTCTCTGTCTAAAAACAGGTTGTTTAGCTCTAGTATGATCATAATAAACTAGAGATCATTTAAGTTTCGGAACAAAAGTTGATTTTTGAAGAAATAAGTGATTTTAAGAATGGTCATTTTTGATGAAAAAGTAAGGCTATAGGCTTAGAAAAATCGTCGATTTTTTTGGAAAAATTTTCTGTCTAAAAACAGGTTGTTTAGCTTAAATATGATCATAATAAACTAGAAATCAGTTTAGTTTCGGGAAAAAAGTTGATTTTTTGAAAAATTAAGTGATTTTAAAAGCGGTCATTTTTTGATGAAAAAGTATGGCTATAGGCTTAGAAAAATCGTCGATTTTTTTGGAAAAATTTTCTGTCTAAAAACAGGTTGTTATGCTTAAATATGATCAGAATAAACTAGAATTCGGTTTAGTTTCGGAAAAAAAGTTGATTTTTTGAAGAAATAAGTGATTTTAAGAGCGGTCATTTTTTGATGAAAAAGTAAGGCTATCGGCTTAGAAAAATAGTCGATTTTTTTGGAAAAATTTTCTGTCTAAAAACAGGTTGTTTAGCTCTAGTATGATCAGAATAAGCTAGAAATCAGTTTAGTTTTGAAAAAAAGTTGATTTTTTGAAGAAATAAGTGATTGTAAGAGCGGTCATTTTTTGATGAAAAAGTAAGGCTATAGGCTTAGAAAAATCGTCAAATTTTTTCGAAAATTTTTCTGTCTAAAAACAGGTTGTTTAGCTCTAGTATGATCAGAATAAACTAGAAATCAGTTTAGTTTCGAAAAAAAGTTGATTTTTTGAAGAAATAAGTGATTTTAAGAGCGGTCATTTTTTGATGAAAAAGTAAGGCTATAGGCTTAGAAAAATCGTCGATTTTTTTGGAAAAATTTTCTATCTAAAAACAGGTTGTTTCGCTCCAGTATGATCAGAATAAACTAGAAATCAGTTTAGTTTCGGAAAAAAAGTTGATTTTTTGGAAGAAATAAGTGATTTTAAGAGCGGTCATTTTTGGATGAAAAAGTAAGGGTATAGGCTTAGAAGAATCGTCGATTTTTTTCGAGATATTTTCTGTCTAAAAACAGGTTGTTTAGCTCTAGTATGATCAGAATAAACTAGAAATCAGTTTAGTTTCGAAAAAAAGTTGATTTTTTGAAGAAATAAGTGATTTTAAGAGCGGTCATTTTTTGATGAAAAAGTAAGGCTATAGGCTTAGAAAAATCGTCGATTTTTTTGGAAAAAT